CCCTACCTGAAGACAGCATAGGTGTTAGCTAATTCGTGTACGACAAGAGTGGCCCTACTTAGTGCCCCCCTGGGAGAGGTGGGAAAGAGCCTTTTGAGGACTTTTGAACTTTAAAAGCTTTCACAAGGCAATGATGTACCCATCTGCAAAAACTCAGAGTGCAGTCTCCACTACTCAGGGTTTGGAACATTAAAAACGTTTTTCCGATTTTTTTCAAGGCAACTTTATCGAAGTGTCGCAGTACTTTTCTTCATCCTCATAAGCAAGTTGTTCAGTAATGAGTAAGCATGCAGCCGAGAGCGCAATTGTAGCCCTTATCACGGTGCATGAAGAGGGCGTACCTGCGGAATTAATTATGAGTGGCCAGGGCGCAGCACTCAAGATGCATGTCGAAAAAGAGAACGCTGCAGATAATGATGGCTTCCACTCATGCGTGAAGGGGCGCAGACAAGCACAGCGTGTGATCATGGTTGGGAGTTGGCTAGCCACGCAGCGCTGGGCCTGCTAGTGACGCATTGGATGGCGGGAGAGACATGTGCACAAGCGGAAAAATAATTTGGAGCAAACTTTGAAATGGATTTTTAACCATTTTAATTTGTTTATTGCCCCAAAGCAACAATACTAGAAATGCTAGCTAAGAATATAATGTAACAACCTTATAATATTAGTTCGGTAGAGCAGAGGTAGGAATTTGGCAAGCGGTGTCACATACAAGGTGCGAAACACATGAGGGCAGGGCACATCATTGGTTGGGGATTTTAGTCGACTCTATACGACCCCCTTTTTTTGGGAGTTGGTACGACCCCCCCCCAGCCCTCTGTCCTTCCTCATCGAATCGAGCCGTCGAGCGGGGGGGGGGCATATAGTACGTGAAACAGGAAAATCACCAAAAGTCACCGCCACTCCCACAACGCCAAAACGTAAATACGACTCCCCCCTCGCTCCCAAAAATGGCCAACGTACGACCCCCCTTTTACAACGTCCATGAAGAAAAAATCAACTATCAGAACCAATTTTTCCCAACCCAAATAAGACCCCCCTTCTGACGACCAAATACGACCCCCTCCCCCCTATTGGGGATTCCCCAACAACGATGTGCCGTGCATGAGGGGATCGGGAGGGAGAGAGGGTCGTATTTTGTCGTTTCTGGATAAAAGGGGTCGTATGTGCCTTTGAAATATTGCCACAAAGTTGAAAATAGTGGTTGGTTTCTGACGCCTCCCCCCCCTCTCCGCTCGACGAAAAATTTTTGGGGAGAAAGTGCTAATTTTCGGGAAATTTCGGAAAAAAAACAGCTGGGAACATGTAGGAAAGTGGTAGGTAGGTGTCGGGGAAGGGGCTCGCACCGAGACCCTCTTTCAGTGGGGGGGGGGGAGTCGTTGAGCCCTAGTCACACCACATTGCGGTCTATAGGCAAATCATGGATCAGTTGCCGCCAAGCAAGTTTTTCGCCCCTTCGGATCTTGTCGATTGTATCGACACTTCCTTCCGGACCTTCTGAGAGGAGCAAACATTGACTTTTCGTCAGTTGCCCTTTCCTCCCGTAATCCATGGTCTTAGCCAATTCACATTCAAAACCACTACGACTCTAAATGGAGGTGGAATGCATGCAGCATCGTGTAAAGAGATTCATCGACAACGTAAGCTTTACTGGTCAGATTTTCTGATGCAGCAGGGTTCCGCACACGGTATTGAGGTTTTTTTTGTGTAGACGGCGATGTGTCATGTGCTAATCCTGCTTTCCTCATGGAACGAGGGTCAGACCCGTCTGGATGTCCTTCTCCTTTCCCTTCTGTTTTTCTCCATCCTATGCTCTCGCCAGAGCTTACGATTTTTTAAAATGGACGCAATGCAAATGTGCTAGCGTGCCTGTCCGCTGTATAGGAGTTGTGAAACGAAGATTGCTCGATGCGCTGCACTGTAGGCTTTCAAAATGTTCAAATCAATAGGCAACTCCTCAACGGAGGGTCATGTTCGGCTCGCTGTTGTATCATAGACCGTCATAGTAGTTCTAAGGTCCGTTAGGAATCTGGGTCAACCTTTATCTACGAAGAACCAGCAATATTGAGGCAGCATTCTACTTCGTAATTGTAGCCGCAATCGGATTAGCAACCAAGCGCGCCTCAACTCCATTAATTCGACCACTTCACAGTACGGTAACTTCAGTAGGCTTAGGCTCACAACCATACATACATCGTACCTCCAAAGGAGCCGTAAATGAATCAGGATGCACACCAAACACAGTATCTCACGACAAAAGCGCCGAAATTGCCTGGGTAACATACTACGTGTTGCGATGCGAAGGAGATCCAAATAGAACAATTGCATGGGGTAGTGTTCGTACGATCTATTAGGTTGTCCGGAAAGTTCTCAGCGTTTTGTGCACCTATTTTTTGTACATTCACTGCTGATTAAAAACTCATTCTGCCTTGCTTCTCAGTAGCACATCCTGTAGAGAATTTCTTGCGCTATCTGATGGTATAATTGCCGTTTCACCATTGCTTGATAAACCCCCTTTTTCAAGATTTTTTCAAGCATGTGAAAAGAGCACTTCGGACGATTTTTTTCTTCGACTATAAATTGGGGCAATCCGCAATCGAAACAGCTCAACAAATTAACCAGGTGTGGGGGCCCAATAGTGCTAGAGAAAGCACTGTGCGGCAATGGCTCAACAAATTTCGTTCTGGAGATTTCAGCCTTGAAGATGAACCTCATAGCGGTCGACCTAAAGCAATATCTGACGAGGATTTTAGGGGGATTTTGGAGGCTGACCCATCCCAAACAGTTCGAGAGATAGCAGAAGAGCTAGGCCTTGGCAAATCCACTGTTGCAGATGGTCTGGAACGCATTGGGAAGGTGAAAAAACTCGACAATTGGGTGCCCCACAATCGGAGTGACCGGCAGGAATCGGCACGTCTCTGCATTGCTTTTGCGCAGCAGAAACGACCTGTTTTTGGGCCGAATTGTCACCTGTGATGAAAAATGGGTCATGTATGATAACAGGAGACGTTCCGGACAGTGGTTGGATTTCGACGAACCACCGAGGTAATTTTCAAAGCCGAACCCTCACGAAAAAAAGATTCTGGTCACGGCTTGGTGGTCATCGGCTGGTGTGATCCACTATAACTTTTTATCACCAGGCCAAACCATCACAGCAGAACCCTACTGTGAAGAAATCGACGACCGAAAATTTTGTCAGATGCAGCCAACACTTATCAAAAGAAAGGGTCCGATTCCTTTGCATGACAACGCCCGCCCACACGTTTCACAAATCACTATCCATAAATTGAACGAATTGGGGGTTGAAGTTCTACCTCAACCGCCATATTCTTCAGACCTTTCGCCAACCGACTATCACCTTTTCTAACATTTTCAGAACTCCCTTGCTGGAAAATACTTCATCAATCAGGACCAGGCAAAAAAGCCTTAGTGGATTTCGTGAATTTTCGACCACCCAGTTTTTTACTTTGATGGGATTTCTCGACTGCTGTCACATTGGCAAAAGTGTGCTGATTCGAATGGTGCCTGGATTAAATCCGATGAGTGTTAAAAAAGTTATGATCGTTTAAAGTGAAACACCCAAAACGCTGAGAACTTTCCGGACAACCTAATATAAGCTCCTTGGATGCCCCAATACATCGTTTTTCGGCACTGTTGAACTAGTCCTACCCCAAAAACTAAAAAAAATTTCGCTGAAACTTTGTCTTTAGATGTTGTTCGATGTCCTGATTACGAACAAAACATTCATGTTTGGCCCACTTTCTCGCCAAATTTGATGTAAACCTGTACAAGGGAGGACAACTGGCATCCTGATCATGAATATGGCATTTGATTGTGACGCTGGGGCCATTTGGCGCCACCAGGCGCCCATTTGGGGCTACACCTTTTCTTCTCAAAATCTATTATATAAAAACTTGTGTAATAGGGTTGCTTGATGCTCTGATCTCGAGTATGGCGTTTATTTCTCCATAACAGTTTGGTGCTCTGCTCTGCTCTCGTTCTGCTGAGGGTGATCGTAGGAAAAGGAGTGATTTCCTTCATTCCATGCTCATTCATAGCAAAGCGCAGATGACCATAGTGACGTTAGCGCAGCGCCAAGAATAACTGCCATATTCGTAACCAGGATGTCAAGTAACCCTCGTATACAAGTAGTTTTCCATCGACGGCTTTGGCCCATGCGGATGTGATGTTCACGTTCAGGAGGTCAAACTACCTTTGGGACAAGTTTTCAGTGAATTTAGTGGTTTAGGGTATTTTGGCGCAGGCGCCAGGTATTTTCGGGTGAAGCGAATGTATTCAGGAAGTCAAACTACCTCTATAAGCCAATTTTCAGCCAAATCTGCCCTCCTAGAAAAAAAGCCGGTAAAAAACCGGCCTGATTTCCGCAGACTGGGGAAGGGATAGTTCAATAGTGCCCATTTTTTTCTTTTTATAAATGCATTGTATAATCGGGTTTCAATAGCCCTCATCAAAAATAGTCTACGCTTGGGTCGGAATTTCTCATGATTGCAGTGGAGTCTTTACACGTTACTGAGGCATCTTGTTGAAACAGTTTCAGATGAAAATGTCACGAGACTTCCCCAACTGATTAAACTGGTGGAACAGAATAGTTTTGTATGCTTCATCTTTCACTAGCCCCGTATTCATTCCGTGGTTAATGCCCTGCTCCCTTCCATGTTCGAGTAGTAGCTTCAATTTTCCACATCCTTATATATTAGCATCCTTGTCTTTGTGTGGTTACCACTGCCTGCTTGCTTCCTGTTGGTTTCGTGCGATACGAGGAATGATGACAAGCACAGTTTTTTTTGAATACAGTACGAGTGCGAGATCCAGAAACACCATACACAGCTCCAAGAACAAGCTCGCACTTGGAACCCGAAGTACTCTAGGAATTCTAGTGAAGTGGTGCTGAAATGAGGAGAAAAATTGTGTACTGCTTATGACCTGCGACCCTAACAAAACTTCAGAGATGGAGTCCTCCCAGAAAAAACCTCGTATCTTCATGATACCTGAAGTAATATCAGGTACAAGGCGAACATGACGAAAAACATTAATTTTATATTTTGTCTTGACATCTCATCACATATTTTAGAAGGTTGTTGATCAGGGAAAAAGGGAGCACTTGGCAGGTTTTTCACCACGCTTACCTTGAGCTGAGCAAAATGTTTCGAACTGGCTGCTGCTTCTTGTTCGACCATTCTATCGATCCTGCTTCTGCTTTTTCTGAACACAGTGAACTTCTCATTGCAAACTATCAAGCATATGGCGAAGAACAGCCGCTGGTAGGCAAACATCTAGAAAAAAAAGTGTTCCGCTTTTTTGTCAAAGTCTTTTCTCAAAAAAGACAGCTAAATTGGTGGAAAGGTAGACTAACGAGGTCGAAAACATGACTGAGGTGAGAAGTATCATATCCTATCGGAATATCGGTGAAGAAAATCGAGTACGCAAGTAGTAGACTAAGGGCCACCTGAAGTTGCTTCTTAGTCTCCCTAGCTATTATACAACTTTGTATGCGTTGCATAGATGCTTATAACCTAAAGTTCCACCACCTTCACGAATAGTTCGTTCAGGGCCACAGGTATCACGTATTTTCCCGTGCGAATGTTCTCGTCGATTTGATATCTTCGGGTTAAGCGCATTTCGGAACAGTGTCGTCTATGAAATGAAGACGTGTTGACTATTATGATGATGAGGAATGCCTGAAATAAAAAAAACCGATTTTTCGGAAGAAGTGGTGTGTTTAGTGGTACTACGACAGTACTTAGGCACAGTACCCTACGCGTCACAAAATCGAAGCCAGCTCTTTCACATCATTAGTTGGGGATTTAGATCGAGTCTGTACGATCCGCCTCCTTGTTCAGGGGTTGGTGCGAGCCCCCCCCCCCCGCTCCGGCCCTCTGTCTTTCCTCACCGAATGGAGCGGTCGGGAAGGGACGGGCGGTCAGCTTAAATACGACCCCCTCCCTGTTGGGGGTTCCCCAACAACAATGTGCCCTGCCCTGGGGAAGGAGGGGGTAGTAAATAGTAAATATGAGACAGGAAAACCTACAAAATCTCGCAACCTCTCCCAAAAGGCCATAAGCCGTATCCCTCCTTCCCAACAATGATGAGTCCGACACCCCCCTCTCTTTACAACGTCTCTAAAACAAGAAAAACAACTATCAAAAAGCGGACATGTCTTGTGTCAAAAGCCTGAAAAGGCTTCAAATGTCCTTATGTGGGTTCAGCACTATGTAGGCAGGGACCTCAGGGTGCATCCTCGTTGTTGTTTTTGGGGATTCTCCAATCCAACCCCAGACCATATGCGACCCCTACCCCCTCCACCAACCAAATGCCCCTGTTGGGAACCCCCAACAACGATGCCTTGAGCTCCCTGATAGTGCTGAACCCACAAAAGGACGTTTCAAGCCTTCTCAGGCTTTCGACATAAGACATGTCCACCTTCGTGCAGCCCATCCAGCTTGGTTCCTTGTTAACTCTCCTGTAGGGTCTCAGTTTGATCGAAATTGGAAATCACAACACCGGCATTTTCACCTGAGTTACCCCGCCGTGTCAGCTCATGACGGACTCCAGATGGGAGAATACAGCAGCTTGGGTAATCTTGAATCATCTTATACACATCGATACGTGTAAGAAGAACAGAACGTTGTTGTACAGCCTACGTAGCACCCCCGCAACACGCTCACCCTCAAATCCTATGCGCTTTCATTCTCCAGGGCTTCGCAAGCAGTTTGATGATCTGGTACTGCTACAAAAACTTGCAGTCAACTGCCCTTTTAAGAATTCAGAGCTTATGCCCTTATGAACACAGCTGATTTTTTAGCATTTTTCTGCAATATTTTGGTAACACAGTGTGTTCTCTTACCGCACACGAGAGAATGATGACAAGAAACTGCATCGCAAATACGTAAAGGCCCATACCTCCACCTGGAATGCTATCTTTTCATGAAAACGATTGAGAATTAGGCACTATTCACCCTTTACTGCCCCACCTATCCAGAATTGAGCCACTTTTTGACCGACTTTTTTCTCCGTGGACAGATTTTGCTCAAATGTTGTCTCCTGGGGTAGTTTGACCTCCTGAATACGAATATCACATTCGCTCAGCCCGAAACTTCCCTGGCCTCGCGCCACAGGCGCCGGTGATTTGAGGTATTTTGGCGCCAGCGCCTGTAGCTTGGGCGCCAGGAGGTTTCGTGCCGAGCAGATGTGATATTCATGTTCAGGAGGCCAAACTACCCCAGGAACAAATTTCCAGCCAATTCTGCCAACGCAGAAAAAAGTCGGTCAGAAACTGGCCTGTTTACGGAAGGTTGGGGCAGTAAAAGGTAAATAGTGCCGAGACTTATTATGTAGATCATTTTACTGAGTGAGTTTCCATGACACTTACTAGCCAATCCTTCTCTCATATATCCAAGCGATACTGCAGGAATCAGCTGAAAAAGCATTCCTTTCATCTCTCAGTAACATCTTTGTTCTGTGTTGGACAGAGACACGACAACAATTGTGTCAAGATGAAAATATCTCACCAGAAGCATAGACACCTTCAGGTTAAGTTGAAACATGCAGCCACGCCTACCCGATCTCAGGGATCTAGAGTATAACTAGTATCTCTCTCCCTATTGGATTGATGAGACTTCGCGTGCATTTGTCCCCGAGGCCTTTTACGAAACGGGAGACGGCTAATCAAAGAACAATGCTGGTTCGTTAACCACTGCTACCTAACGGTACGTAGTTGGTGTGTCAGTACTAGAACGCGTGTAATATGGGCATGTGATCAGCTGTCCTTGGCATGTTCGGAGATGACGAGCCCCTGGCTGTCGAAGCGTAGCGGTCCCGGGGATGGGGATCCAGGACCGTGGGACATATAACTCCTCCATGCTCAGCCCAACTTGCGGCGCAGGCTTCCGATCTCCCTTATACAGTTCTCCGTCTGCGCGGCGCTTGTCGCGTGCAGCGCTCCTGGCACTTTGCCACTTCTTGTAATTGTGCTTTCGAGTACAATTAAACTAAACTGAACTATATTTGGAATCACTCCTGGAAAATCTGCTCACCACCACTCCACATATTGCAACTGGAGTGAATCTCCAGTTGAATTCTGTTTCATAAACTCCAACGAACACTGTTGCGATCGTCCTTTCAGTGATCAGAACTATCCATGCGAACGTGTGAATGTTCATAGCGTTGAATTTCCAGGAAAGTAGGTAATTCTTTGAAAACAGGCGCTATACATTCAGTCAACAAAAGCCTAATCTATCATTAGCCTTTTACTGACACCTACCACAATGGGAGGATTTCGTAGGCCGATGCAACACATACGGGCCACAACAAGAGACAAATAAGCTAGATCTGTAGCCAAATGACCAAATGCGATGAGGATTAGTGTGACTCTGTAAGAGGTGATTCGGAATAGAATAAAACGAAAGGTGGAGTAAGTAATGGCATAACCTGTGACTGGGTATTTTAAATGCTTTCAGTACAGCCTCACTGCTCGCCACTCTAGGGAGCCTCCATTTTCCAAGAGAGGGAAGAAGGACGGCCCATAGCTGTATGAGACTAGCTCGAAAGCGTATGTTCAAAACCGGGTAAGCTTTGACCTCACTACATTGGTTCTCTTGATTAATAACATTTGAGGGAGAATGACGCAAAAATTTGTGATGGCATTCGCCTTTATGAAAAATCTCGGTTGTAAAGTGGGGAATTATAATTTTTTTTTGGTGTGAACAAAGAAGCGAAATTTTCTGACCTGAAGTTAGCGTGTAGATTCTTCTGGGTGACGCATATGTAGAAAAGTAACGATACAATTGGTAGAAAAATCACGTCAAGGATACATTCCAGAGTATAGAATAAGTAGTTCCATCCATCCGGCTCCGCCTGCACCATTTGAGGTCTCCTAGTAGAAGGAAGCTTTTTTGCAACGCTGATTATGAGGAATATTCATAGGTGAACGAATTTGCCATAATGGCGCTGGTCTCAGGTCATGAACCATTAAGTTTAGGTTCTTTGGAAAAGCTAGGCTGATCTCTCTACCCGACGGCTCATTCTGACCTCGTGAAGCTCGGAGAAGTTTGCTTGAGATGCTCCTCTTATTTTATAAATAAACTCAGGCGCGAAAATGCTCTGCTTGATTCCCATCGTTTATAGAAGTGTAAAGGTGAAATAAGCTATCACGGAGAACTTCTGAGCTGTATGAAGATTTTCCTTGAAGGCAATTGTCACGATAAATCCTAAGAAGAGAAGAAGAGTAGAGCTGACACCGCCTCGCAGGAGGGAATTCCGCGACCCTGAGCAGGTGCTTTTCCAAGGGAACTACCCTTACAATACCGCCCCTAATTTTTGTATAATCGACGGTTTGCGACGGATTAATCCGTCGCAAACCGTCGCTTTGCCATAACTTCCGGTCAAAACGATTTGAAATTCAGACCAGTCGATAGCCCTGTACAAGGCGAATCCAATGATGTATGGACCTTCCACTTTCCTTCAATTTTTTGACGTTTTTCCCAAGGAAATTGAGGTTTGAGTCTCCAGTAACCTAAGGTGTTACCTGCGGACACGGCTGCGTCGTAAACCCTCCAGTTAACGAACCTTAAACAAGTGCTCCAAGGCCCTAAGATACCAGCATATTCAGAAAGAGCATGATTCCGTGATCATTTTGATACTTTTCATGACAGGGTTTCAGCAAGGTTCAGCTGAAAATCATGGTTCACTGACCACTCTTTCCTTGATTTCCGGTTTGAATCGGCTATATCATGACTTGATGAGGAGAATCTGATTTATGGCCAACGATCTCGAAGAAAACCCCTCTATATCCAGAAAAATCGGTACCAAAATGATCAGCATCATTTGGGAAACACAGCTATTTAATTTTTAATCACTTCTTACGCGATACAGCACGGTATTTGAGTCCTGAATGATTTAATTCC